AACTAAGACGTACATCAAATGATTACAACATAGTAAAACATGCGAGACTTGGTTAAAATTCAGATTTGTAGTTTGGCGAGCAATTAACTGAACCATCGTCTTCTTCCTGATTCGTCTCATCCTTTCTTTCTTTTTCTCTCTCTCTTTCTCTTTCGCTTAATTAATTACGCCGTGGAACTGAAAATTGCGCCGCGTGTAATTCCCGAGTTTATACACCCTATTCTACTGCATATGTATTGTGTATAAAATATAATGCGCATATAATTATATATATATGTTCATATATAAATATTTAATATATAATATCTAATGCATACATATCCTAAAGTTGAAATGTTTATTTCATTTGGTATTTTTTTATTTTATATGCCGCCGCGTGTAATTCCCGAGCGGATAATGAGAGTCTGCTTACCGAGAAGAGACAGGGAGAGCCCCCCTTCCCCTCCAAGACAGTTTGGGGAATCCGAAAATCTCAGACGGACGAGAGATACCTGTTTAGCGGATGCACCTGCGCAACAATAATAATCATTGTTCCAACGTCACCGATTATTAACGAGCCAAATCATAGAGCGTTGAGAGCAACTATCTATCTCCTCGTAAGTAGCAATAAAATATAATGCGCATATAATTATATATATATGTTCATATATAAATATTTAATATATAATATCTAATGCATACATATCCTAAAGTTGAAATGTTTATTTCATTTGGTATTTTTTTATTTTATATGCGGACAAGCACCGAGAGTAGCAGTGCTGTAATGCTGGCCTATCACTGAAAATCAGATGAGACGCCAATTAACACAATTAGCATTTTTATTAACACAATTTATTATTTAAAGGATCTAATTCTAAAATCTCGTCTTTATCTCTTCTAATTTTATTCTGTACATAAAATTAAACTAATAGAATTATATTCATTAGTAATGATTAGGCGATTATTTGGATTCTATGGACGGATAGTTGGAAGATTTTGGATGAAATTCGTATTGCAAATATTTCCACGTGATTAGTCTTGGGGTGCTTTACTTATTGAAACTTGCAGAGAGCTGCAAATGCGATAATTTGGTCAAAAAAGGCTTAAAAATCATCAACTTTCAACGCTCTCTGCAGGCTAAATTATAGCTTCTAGAAAGTTATGTCCATTAAGACTTTTGCTCAACGTCTTATGAATAATAAAATAATTTATTTCATAAAATTATAAAAATGTTATTTATATTTATATGCATTGAACTCTATTTCTTAAGTAAACAATAAACAAACGAGTTTTACTCATTTGCCGGGCATTTATTTGTCCAATTTAAACATAATTCATTATTTGAATTCCGTGTGTTGGAGTTATATCAGAAATTAAGTAAATAGAAGTAGTTATTATATGCTTAATCTTTATGGCAATTCTTTATAAGCTTTATATGTATAATTCTCATGACTAAAATTCAAGTACGAGATAATGCATCACGCATCGCATAGCGGTAAGCAAACAAACTAGCAACTAAATACTGTTTTTTGTGAAGTTTTTGAAATATTGCAGTAATATTTTTCATAAAATATTACAGTGATATGTTCCTGTAATATCTCTACAATATTGCATTGTAAATTGCAAGATTGTAACATTGCTGAAATGTAATTGAAATGTTCTGTGCTATATAGATAGCCTCAAGATGTAATAAAATTCATTCATTGGCTTAATTTTTTTCCCGCCTGAATTAGATATAGAGTGTATCAATATTCGTACATCTTTTTAAGATTAAAAATTTCTTGTCTGGTTTGTGATTTCAATCTTTTTTTATAATACAGGTTCTATTATATAAAGTTAATAAAATAATATTTTATTAACTTCATATAAATTTCAATATTTTGATATAATTGAGTCTCAAATTAAAATTCTATTAAATAAAAGAAATTAAAAATTTTGTTTTAAATATATATAATAGGTTTATTATGATAAACACTATAAAGAGAAAGTTATAGTTTTATACTTACAGTTTTATTTAAAAAATTAGAATTTTTATTAAAACTTTGGTAAACCTTTCGAAAAAGTTACAAAAGAGTTAATGTATACAAACAAAAAATATTAATGTGTATAAAATAGTATGACAGCTATATATATGAAATAGAATATCCGAAATTGATTCCAGCTGCATGTAATTTAAGGTTGAAAAAAGTTTGTATAACCTGTGCGCGTATACCACACGAATTTCACGTGTGAATCTCTCGCGGCGGGTTAGAAACATTATTAATACAGAGTATTGCCGTGCCTTTTTGCGGAGAAGAAAAAGCACCGCGGCGCTATATATATTATGCATTAGGCAAACGAAGAAATCCACGAGCAAACGGTAGTGAGAGAGAAATTCGCCTTGTTTTCGGATGGAAACCACCAACAGTTTCGTCAAATCCCGCCTGAGTTCACCAGAACGCAAATCAAAACATTGATTTCTCTCATCCATGGAAAAGGGTCTGATAGCGTTTTTAATTTGTAATGGAAAAATAATATGAATATAAAATAATATAAAATATTAATATTAATGTGCGTGCAAACTAGAAAGATCGTTAGTAAAATATATATCCAAAAAATATATTTTAAATATAAAAATAATGCGATTTGTTTGTGCATCAAAGAATATTAGAGATCTGTTTTTTTATAGATGAACTGGCTGCTAATCCAGAATTTATCTTTTTCTCTCTGGAAGGAGAAAGATAAGCTCTGAACTAGTGCAGCCAGTTCATCTATAAAGAACAGACCCTAGATTAAAAGTCAAATAAATTTTTGATGTTCATGTTTGTTTGTCATGGAAACAATCAAAACTAAGTGTGCATCAATATCATGAATTTCTCTTTTTCTCTCTCTCAATCGTGAAGAATGATGGCGCTCATCAGTTGATCTCTCATCTATAAGTAACATAATTATTGCGCGATCACGTAACTTGATCTACGCGGTAGAATTGATATATTATCTAACTATGTTTATATATGCACACATATATGTATGTGTGTAACTAATAATATAAACTACAAATACAATCTGATTTCAAATAAAACAAAACCTGTTTTCTAGGAAACTCTTGTCGTTCTTATTTGAAAAAAGCTTTTTGTTTCATATATATTTGATCATGTCGGATCTCGCATTTCGATAAACTGGTTTCTGGCAAACGCGGAAATGAGTTTAGCTCATTTGCCACAAGCGGACTTCATGATTATATATGCGGCGCAAACAGCAGATTTAACGAACGGTAATCGGTTTCTCCGGCAGCGCGCGCGGTCATTAGAACTCGGGACGTTCCGAGCAAAAAGTTTAATGGCTGGGAAAAAATCGCATTAACGATTCTATCGCTGCCGTCACTTTTTCCCCGCGAAAGGCGTTTGCCGAAGGTCGAATCATGACAAAAAGGATAACAAGTTAGGTAAGGCAAAGATATAATAATCGGACCTGGATCTCCAGTCGATCCTCGGATGATATTTTAAAGCCAAATAACAACAAAAAGCGAAGGAAAACGCAATACACACACACACACACATTTGCTTAAATCAATATAAAATACACCTATGATGAACAGATTTTATTGATAGTTGAAATTTACCAAGATTTATTAATATTACAAGTAATAATTGTACTAATCTTTGATTTGTAGAAGTATTCTAATTATGAAACCAAAAACAATTTTTTTTATTTTTGAATTATAAAATTTACAAAATGAATTTATATTTTAACTCAATAAAAATATTGATTAAATATTTACACAAGAATTGCATCTTTCTCTATTTTTCCAAAAAAAAAAACACAAAAAACATTGACACTCTTTTATACGAGAGCAATTCGATAATAAAGGTACATGGCGTTGATTATACATAATCTGTGCGCGCAACCTCTAGGTTATGGGCATGTATTGTTACATGGGAGAGAGGAATAGTAGTCGTGCAAGCGATGTTGTTTTTATTCACTGATCGGAATTTGGCAAGCAAATGAAATGCCCGGTGTGATTGAAAATTATTCCAAGTTCAAGGTGCGCATATTATTAAATTTTTGCAAGCAGAAAGAATGAATCAGAATGAGATTCATCATTAGCTTAATGAATGTTTATGGCCAGAATGTTTTAAGCCAAAAAGAAGTATGCGTGTGATGCAACATATGTTGCACCACACGCACACTTCTTTTTGACTATATATATGGAATGAAAATGATTAAAAATACTTACCCCAACAAATTTTACATTTTTCCCTTCAAAATTATTGATTTTGTAATTTTTTTTTAATGTAAAATCGCAGCAGTTTTGTGAGATTTCCCTGTTGATTATGTACTACCATTTATCCACTCCCATTTCAATAATACTTATCTATAAGTTCATTATGTATCTGAGTGAAACATTTTCTTTGCCGAGGCATTACACCGTTTTATCCTACAGCTGCTCGTTGCAAATTCATATTTTTTCTTAAAAATGTCTATGCATTTTCTTTACACCAATTGGTTCTTTTCATTATTTTATGCTTAAAAGTATTGAGATAAGATAATCGAAAAAAAAATATTTTAAGAGATACTTCATAGTTTATGTAAAATTATATCATAAATTAAAGTATAAAATATCTCATTAATTACTCAACTTCTTGAAAAATGATTTTAGTTAAGAATCAAGATTATTAACTTTTTTCTCTCTCAAAACTCTATAAATTTTGAAACATTTTTTGTATAACGTCAAGTTTTGAAAGAAATTCCTTCTAACATTTTATGTGAAATATCCTGTATACTACTTACCTGAAATGTTCATTAACTATTATCCACACATGTCCACTTTTGTAATATTAAAATTTATTTGAATGATATCAAAATTGATCTTTGAGGAAAAAGAGGACAAAAACAATCCTTTATTTTGCTGCTAAATAAAGAAGCAAAGTTCTTACATGTATTTTAGAGAAAGATGGAACTCGCAAATCTCTCAGAGAGGATTATCGATGTTGATCCCCGCTTTTAATTAGCAGGCAGAGTAAATAAAACACAGCCTGGTGTACAGTTCAATATATATATCTATATTGACTGCTCGTCTAAGTACATTGAATAAGGAATTCGAATTCCAAGATATTTAGCAATTACAGACGTAAATTAGGTGGTGATTCTTCGCTACGTTGAACCGCGATTATTAATCGCGCCTTCACATACATACTTATCTCTTTCTTTCTCTCGCCATATACACCTAGATAACATCAAAATAAATCTATATTTCGCAAATAGAGCAATAATTATCGAGAGGCTATGTACACGAATGACGGACTAAAATGCACGCACTCTTTCTCTTGCACGCTTACTGCTCTTTCTTTCACTTTCTTCCCTGAATCGTAAATTAATTATTTTGTCATTTACATACATACAATTATTTTGTAATGCGCAACTACGTCAAAACTATTTTCTTTGTCGTTCGCATAACGGCGCAGTCACGGGATCAATCGCCTCCGTTGAGGGAAACTGAGGCCGCTCCCTCATTATCTTCTTGCGAGGAAAATTGCAGAAATTTTCGTTAGGCATCTATATATCTTACAATTCTGTCTCGCACATATATGTTGCTTTGGCATTTTTCTCCATACAACACAGAATACAACATTGTAGCAACATTGAAATATTGCCGCAATGTTGTTGCATTATTATGTGCTGTATGAGTTCAGATTCGCATCTAGCTGCGAGTCATTTCCGTTTTTGCTTCTTTCGTGTCGATTTTTCGACAGAGAAGTAAAAAGTAATCAGAATTAAATAAAAAAAAAAAATCGAAAGAAGATACGTAAATACAAATTGAAATAAAATGAATAACAAATTTCCGTATTTGGCTAAAACAGTTTCCTTCCGATATTGTGAAAAGAATGGAAAGCTCTATTTAATGAAACTAGAATAGTCGAACGGAAATTAATACGTTTTCGTCTTATCTTTCTGAATGCTTTTCTATGTAGCCTTTAAAAAGAGGTATACAGCGTATTTTATTTTTTGTTGTTTGTATAAGTTGTTCTGTGTTATGATTCGTTGCTGTCGTCACTCAGATGACGTCATCGTCGTCGTGAAAATCTCGCAATACACAACGGACGCGTCGAACGCATTATTCGAACGGCATTGCAGCGATTTTAGCGGTTGCGGCACTTTTAAGCATGATGCAAATTAAAGGCTTCATTAACGCCGTCGCAAGAAACGACGCGCATACCATTGACGTCACGCACGCGAGAGCGCGACGTTATTAAGCGAGAATGCGCATACGCCTTTTCCGTGTACTCGTTTCCACATGAACAAGTAGTGACAGCGAAAAAAAGTTAGTCGCAATGTTTTTTCGCCTCGAAAACGAAACTGCAGATTGATGGAATAATATATATATATATGATGGGGTGGGGAGAACACCCACACACATTCTATCTCTCTCTCTCTTTCTCTCTCTCTCTCTCTCGATATATATAAATTCGTAAATACCTTGCAAAGGTACGTGAAAAGATATACAATATGTTCCTAAAGTAACTATCTATTTTGGCGAAATTATAGATTTCTTAAAATTTGTTACGGTTATAACGGTACATCCATTATTATATAAAATCATGGATTTAAAATTCAATTGCTTGTGTGTTCCATGAAATAGTTGATCACTTTTAAATCTGTAGAGACATTGTATATATATATATATATATATATATTCATATATTAAAGATGTTTTTTATAATCCCTATTATTATTTCGTCAAATAAATAATCATTTTAAAAACATCCTGTATATAATTTTTATTTCTGCCAATTAGCACTCAACTTCTCCATATTTCTAACATATTAATTTCCTGTATTCATGAAAGTATTTCATGACGATTGCGTAATTTCGGCGGATTGCATTATCGTAAAATTGTGTCATTACTAATTTTAGTAATAACGTAAAGAAATATTCGCGATAATTATTTCTACTTTTGTTTAAGAATAATATTATATCTTAATTGGAGGAGCTCTTTCTCGTAGTATACACGCATTTTTGTCTAGAGTTCTATTCTTGAATTCGAAATGAATATTTGTATTGTTTATGTGTTTGTGTGTGTCCATAGTAAATAAAATATCTAAGCTATTCAAAATTTGCGGCAATTCTACTCCTGTAATTTTCTACGCCAGAGCGAGAGAGAAAGAGAATATATATATATATATATATGTATGTGTACACGCACACATACACACATACGATCTTACCCTAACCAAGGAAGATTTCCGCAATAGACGACGCAGTCGCGCACCGCTACGACTTCCGGTTTCGCGCGTATTCTGTCCCACAAGATATATTTCTATTTACAAAGACAGAGGGCCGTTATATGGGCGGCCCTTTACCATGGCCTCCACATGCCCTCTTCATCCTTGACAGGTTGCTGACCGACGGGCGACGGGGACGGTATGCCAATGGCGACCTCGTTGTCCGCGTGACTAGAAGGTCTGTCCTCGTGAACGATGGGACCGCCGGCAGGCTCGGTTGGCAAACGGGTCGAAACCTGCTGTTGCCGTAGATGATGATGGTGATCGACGACGCCAGAGTGCACGGACGAGCTTCTCGAGCTGGCAATCTTCATTTTCTTTGACGTGGTGGTGAAGTCGAGCGGCTGCTCCGGCTGTTCCATCCTTGGGCTCTTACTGGGTTTGAGACCGCCAGTGGGATCCTGCCACTCCTGGCCGATGTCGTCATGCGGTCGTTTCGCCAATTTGTCGGTGGCCTTGAGCAACGACATGTTGGTCGCTGCCCAGATCGCCGTGGGTGGATTCGGCCCAATGCTGATACCATTCGCCGCGGCTGCCGCCGCCAGTTGTACGTAGTGGCTTGGCAACAGGAAGACCACTTGGCCGTCCGGCAATCGGGAAGGTATAACCTGTACCACGGAGAGCATGTTGTTGGGATTCTGCTGTGACGTAGAGGCCTGATCGACCGGTATACCAGACGGATGATGCGGATGGTGCGGGTCCAATGTCGCCGGATTCACCTGACTGAAAGCGGATGTCGGTCGACTGCTATTGTTGTTTTCATCGCCGGCGGTGGTGCTGCTGTCGGGTCGGGTAGCCTCGACCATATCCGGAATTTCGGACTTGATCAGACTGGCCGGCGTGAGCGCGGCACTGCTGCAGTGCGGTCCGACCGGCACGTGATGATCCATTGGGCTCGGACTCGTCGCTCCCACCACACGGTCTGTCACGCTACCCGGACTACTACCCAGACCACTATCGGGCCGTGATCCCAGATCCAGGTCCAGCTCCGACACGCAACTGTCCAAGTGGCGCAGTAGCCGCTGCTTCACGGCCGGATCCATCGGCGTCGTGTTACCCGTAATAATGTCCGGCGCATCGAGATAGCGGCTCACCTGAAAAAACGACAAACCAGCGATGTAAACATTGGCTTTTGACGCGCAAATATAGGATGTCTTGCAACTGATGATACAACCGAAAAGATATTGATTTTATATAAAAATGTGGAATAAATTTTTTTTCAACAAAACTTTGTTTTCGACAAAATTGGTTTAAAAAATTGGAAAATTGATAACATGCTACGTTTTTTTCAGTTTAAATAATCTCAAATTTATTTTAACAGTGATTATTAAAATATAATTCCCTCTTCTTCGGTGTAAATTTAAATTATTTTAAATTGTTTTACTAAAAAAATGGGATATTGTATTTTTATATTTATATATAAACAATCGTTGTCAAGATAAAAATATGACACAATATTATTACAAATAATTCAAGATTAAAAATGAGCTCTCTCTATATTATTAATTCTTTAAATTTTAAGATTAATTTTCTCGGAAACAAAATCTTATGTGAAAAGTTTTTATTTTACATTTTCAACTAAATAAAATTATTATTATCTCAGTTATACCAACAATTTTTACAGAATATCCTGTATAATACAAATCTCGTAAATGAAGAGTCAACTGCGCAAAAAGAAAAAAGGAGAGAAAAAGAGACAAAAGTGAATAAATCACTTAAGATGTACTTAAGACGTATCTACATATATAAGTCTTGAAAATTTTATGTAGAAAGAAATATTAGCATACAGTGACATGCATCAAAGACTTGCATTATTTCGAAGAATTTAACTTCTCGTAATAGTCAAACACACTGCTTGTATATACATATAAAAAATTATAATTCCGTAAAGATAGAAATAATTTTCGCAAACGTGTGTAGCGCCAGCAATGTAAACATACAATATATCCGAATCATAACGCCGGAAAAATATGTATATTGTGTTGCGATAGAAATTCCGCTGTCGCGACCGCGGGTTGCGGTATGTCAGTTATTATCGACCGCCAGGTCGTAATTGAATATTTCGCTCTTTAATCCACGATTCGGTCGAGTACATATATAACAGCACCGCATGATTATTTGTTACCCGATATATACTCTCTTTCTCTCTTTCTCTCTCTCTTTGGCTGCGACCCGTGGCCCATAATTTATTTCGTGCCGGCGATAACGACCTGTGCGATAAAATGTTCTTTAAACTCGTTTTGGTCGGGTGGCGTTCCGACGACGCAACTGCCAACTTTTACGCGGCCGCATGTTATCGCCGCGAATCACTAATTAACGCGCACTTAGAATGCTTTGCTGATTAACGTTCAATCTGCGCGGATTTTATAATAATGCGCTTTATGTGGTTTCGGTATTCGGAGATAATTAAACAAATTATATATGTATATACATACATACATATATATATATACACAGAGTGGTCCACATAACTCTTAACAGCTCGATATCTCGGAAACTATGCCATCGATTTTAAAGATTTAGATCTTAAATTGTATGGGTCTGATGGGTTTAATGGGCCTTCAAACATGAATGAAAACTGACTTTCAAACCCCGGTTGCGTGGGTGGGGCGGGGGTTAACTTAAAAATTTTTAATGGAAACCCCTATACAAAATTATTATTATTTTTTATCAGGTGTTTGAAGTTCCGACTTATAGCTACTTAAAACGCTCGGGAATAACTACACGAAATAAAGAAACACTCTATACTTTGATTTATTTAATTTATTAAATGTCCACCATGTACTAGTAAACATTTATTTATCCGAATCAACGAGACGCTTGCGTTAGGAATACTTTGTTGATTTGAAGCAATTATTATATACTTATCTACACAAATTATTATATACTTAATGATGTAAACAAAAAGGAAAAAAATGACAAATTTTAAAAAATCAGTAAAGCACGCGATTGCTGCGACAGGATAGTGATCGGAAG